AACGATTGATCTTTTACACAGAATTGCTCGTATGCTTGTATTTATGTATTGACTTAAATTTTCATATATTAATTAGGTTTCAAAGATGAAATTTATATATATAACAAATCTTATAAATTAAGAAATCAATAAAGTTGTTACTCATAATTTAAAAAAAGAATCTTCAATAATTTTTTTTACTCACCTAATAACTTATAATCGAAATTTTATATTTTAAAATATTGATTAATTGTATCTTTAAAATTGTATTAGAATGATAGTGCATTATCTTATAATTTAGTCAACGCAATTGATTTTCCGGCAAAGTCATATTTGCAGCAGTCATCGTAAAATCAAAGTCCATTCCTACTTTTTCAAAAGTCGAGAAGAAACTAACTACATAACGCTCGATCAACCACCACCACCACCGTGACGATGGGCAACCGCAGCAGCAGAACCAAAACGAAACCCTCCCCCGATTCCCAAACCGAATCCCATTCAAAATCAAACCCCAAACATTCCGCTCTCACTTCCTTCCCCCCTCCAAATCAACCAACCCCAACCCCCGTTGGCCGCGTCTTAGGCCGGCCCATGGAAGACGTCCGATCCACCTACATCTTCGGCCGCGAACTAGGTCGCGGCCAATTCGGAGTCACATACCTAGTAACTCACAGAGTCACCAAGGAACAATTCGCCTGCAAATCAATCGCGACTAGGAAGCTAATCCGCCGCGATGATCTGGACGATATCCGCCGTGAAGTTCAGATCATGCATCACCTCACCGGTCACCGTAACATCGTTGAGCTTAAAGGTGCTTATGAGGATCGGCATTCTGTTAACCTCATCATGGAGCTTTGTGCCGGTGGTGAACTCTTTGATAGGATTATATCTAAAGGACATTACTCCGAACGTGCTGCTTCTGAATTGTGTCGCCAGATGTTGGCCGTTGTTCATAATTGTCACACCATGGGAGTTATGCATAGGGATTTGAAGCCAGAGAATTTCTTGTTTCTCAGTAAATATGAAACTTCGCCTCTTAAAGCCACTGATTTCGGTCTCTCTGTGTTTTTCAAGCCCGGTTTGTTACTTCTGCCTTGTTTCGATTAACAACTTTATTAACTATCTCTAGCATAATTACTTATCATATAAATATTCAAGTATAGACTATTTCTATATGACAATTTTTGATTTTGAATTAATTGATTTTAATTAAAAGTAAGTTAAAAGCATAGTAATTTATGTTTCTATACATATTTGTAAAACTGAATTGAACAATAAATTTGAGCATAAGTCACATTTGGACTCAAAATCTACTCATTGATAAGTCACATTTGGAGTCAAAAGCTACAAGTCGTAGCTTCAACTCAGCATTAATTCTAAGAAAAACACCTAAATATGTCAAACTCAATTCTAAATCTCTAGATTGAATCAATTTTGTGGCACCTCCAAAATTGGAACCAAACATACAAGTCAGTTTTCTTATAAGCTATCAAGAGAGCTTATGGAAATAATAAATCATTCCTATAAACTCTTTCAAACACTTTCACAAGTGTTAATGCTGGTAGATAAGCCCAAATAAGCATACATTTGTTTTTGCGTCAACTAGACTTGTGTTAGCTCCAGATCACGGCAGTTTTTCGTGTCTATGCAAAAGCTCCGTTGTGTAGCTACTAGGAAACCACGGAAAAGCCAGAATTGGACCAAACAGACGTTAAGTTAATCCTTCCAAACTGACTTTCAGTGTTTTTTTACTCTACCGACTTTGAGTTAGTTAATTAGCTTGTTCCATTTCACTGATGTTAAGTTTTTCTTTGAAACACTGATCTCAATAGTTTGTCGGCATGATTTTTGAGAATAGGAGATGTATTTAAAGATCTTGTTGGGAGTGCATATTATGTTGCTCCTGAGGTGTTGCGTAGAAATTATGGACCCGAAGCTGATATTTGGAGTGCTGGGGTTATTTTGTATATTCTCCTCTCTGGTGTCCCTCCCTTCTGGGCAGGTATACTTTCTTTCTTTACTGTTTTTTAATACTCATACATATTATCATGAAGCTGCATGAAGTTGTTTAGGTTCGTCTATTTCCTGGCTGAAATTTCTAAGCGATTTTGAACTTCAATATAGTTAGATTAGGTGTTTGTGTCAGTTTGGTTTTCATGTCTTTCTTGTTTGATAACACCTTACCTTGATTACTGACTAGTATATGGTACCTTTCTGATATTTCTCACATTTTCTTCTTATTCTTTATGTGAAGAAAATGAACAGGGTATCTTCGATGCTATTCTTCATGGACATATTGATTTCGAATCAGAACCTTGGCCTAAGATATCAAGCAATGCTAAAGATCTGATCAAGAAGATGTTGCGAGCTGACCCTAAAGAACGACTTTCAGCTGTTGAAGCCCTTAGTAAGTTTTATTCTTCTTGTAAATGCAAGTTGATTTCTTTTTACATCAAAAGGGTTTTATGCTGTATTTTGATCATGTTGACTCTGAGATCTGATCGTTAGAATTGATGCAAAAGTGAAAGGGTGGTGAGATAATTGGCAAGAAATAGGATATTAATTTTAAAAGAAGCTATGACTACTCACTCAATTGATCCATGATATTGTTAATGATATGAGAGTAATATGTCTCATTCAATGGGATGAAAGAGGAGAGTGGACATTTATTTTCACATACACTCTTCAAGTCCCTCTCTTGAATAAAGGAAAAGGTAGGTTAGGGCATATGCATCTCTGCCAAGTGCCCTCTTTTTATTGTAAATTTTGTAATAGATGCACCACTATTTCCCAAACAAATGCATTGTTTCTTTTAATTACTTGAATTGATATTTTCTCTCCGCTGAACTGTCTCGACACCGTGCTCTCGTTTTTGTCTCTCACCATACTCCCTTATTGCATTTTTCTATGTTACCTGAATGAGTAATATGCGTAATTTTGTTTCTGAGAAGTTTTCTTCTTTGGAAACAACTGCTACCTCGCCTCATTGGCTAGCTTTCTTTCGACTAGATATTCATGTGATTGGATAATGCTACTTTTTGGTTAATTCGCATACTTCTAGGGGCACGTTAGCAAATAATACATGTAATTTACGTATACGCCCCCACGTATACTTGCACAATTTCTTTAGTCCTATTTTATTTTCCCCTTTCTCTAGCCTGGAGCATTTGAGCTGTGTCATGGCTGTCTTATTTTATTTATTTGAGTCAACTAAACATAATAACATAGTATATATACACTTCAGATCATCCTTGGATGAGATATGATGGAGCACCCGATAAGCCTCTCGATATTGCTGTTTTAACCAGAATGAAGCAATTCAGGGCAATGAACAAGCTAAAGAAAGTAGCTCTGAAGGTAAATAGTTCTTTATTGTCATTTTCGTTATACAGATCAAGTTCTCATAATCAAGCTTTTAGTTAAATATCCAGGATTACTGTTTTATTTAAATCCTCGAGGATAAAAAAGGGTACACAATAATAGAAAGTGATAGATAAATAAATAAGTAAATAGCCGGTATAAAAAACTAAATAAATAGGGAGAAGAAATCCATAACTGAACTGAAACAAAGATTAATATATGTAAAAATCCTGATGTTTTTTTGCAGGTTATTGCTGAAAATCTTTCTGAAGAAGAAATTATTGGACTGAAGGAAATGTTTAAATCCATAGACACAGATAACAGTGGAACAGTCACTTTTGAAGAGTTGAAAGCTGGTCTCCCCAAACTAGGTACTAAGATATCTGAGTCTGAAGTAAGGCAGTTGATGGAAGCGGTAAGATTTCTTTTACACCATTAATTCTTTGTTACAACTTACAATAGATTCTACGTGTATTTCTAAGCCAATAAATTAATGTTTGATTATAGATTACTGTGAATATTAGTGATGAAGACACACACAGACATACACACACTGTATCCCTTCTATACCAGTAGTACCAGATCTTGTTGCAGATTCATACTTTTGGGTCTTAACCACTGTAATTTAATTTCTTGTAGCTAACCCTATGCATGTCACATGTAAATGTAATGGATAAATGTATTCTCTGCAAGTTCATCTCCTTGATAGTTAGCTGCATCCAAATCCTGATTTGTTCTTGTAATAATTACTACGATTAATATATTGTAGATTAATATATTGTAGAATCATACACGTACGAGAGCACTGGGAAAATAGTTGTATACTATATTTAGACTAGAGCTGTTTAATATTGTGATTCCAATCTTACCACTTTTCTTAATTTCACTCATGTTTTTTCTTTCTATGTGCAGGCTGATGTTGACGGAAATGGAAGCATTGATTACATTGAATTTATAACAGCTACCATGCACTTGAATAGAATGGAAAGAGAGGACCACCTATTCAAAGCTTTTGAACATTTTGACAAGGACAAAAGCGGGTAATCTCTTTTTTTAGGATTTTTTTTATCAGTCCTCTCTTATTATAAATGAATTTGGATGTGACAGGTTCATGCTATGAATTTGAAAAGGACACATAAATTTAATGAATCCCACATAATAAATTGCTGGTCTTACTATTGTCTCTTTCTCACCACAGACATAACCTTCTCTGGGAGGACCATGATCTTCTTTTTACCTTTTCTTTATATGTTTTTTAACACACCTGTGTTGAATCACATTTTGGTCTATTTTCCTGATCCTGTTTTCATAGGTACATTACAAAGGAAGAGTTGGAAACTGCCCTTACAAAGTATAACATGGGGGATGAGAAAACAATAAAGGAGATCATTGACGAAGTCGATTCAGACAATGTACCCTTCTTTCTTCATTCTTTACTTTTTTTCTTTTGTCTCGGGTCACATTCTTGTTCTTATTTTTGGTTATCCTAATATGAAATTGTATATACAAATTAAAACTCTCAAACCTCTTGCAGGATGGAAGGATTAACTATGAGGAGTTTGTAGCGATGATGAGGCAAGGCAACCCAGATTTGAACAAACATCGCAAATGATTAAGTTGACCATACATCACCTGTTTAAGCGAGTTCGAGGGTAGATGGCTCAAGCAGGTTTTGCTAACATGGACTGATTTGCATTGCTCACTTGCGCTTTTACTTTAACAAACAATTTCTGCTTCGGATTTCGCCTCCTATTTGCTCGTCCGTTGGGGGCACTTGCATGGCATGGTAGCCTGCTCTTCCATTGAGACAATTTTTCTCTATTATGACATATTCTATCCTTGCAATACATATTGATTGTTCCCAACTTTACTACTTGTGTGCCTTCACTAAACAATGTAGTCCTGTAGTCCTGTTGCTTGAAATTAATAACCATGACAAATTAATGATTAATTTACATTATATTTTTAAATAAAAGTGATTTTTATATAACTTTGAAGATTATTCTTCAGATTTTTTTTTAAAAAGCATAAAATTTTGTTAAAAAATCACTGAGTTGAAAATTTAAATGTGTTAAAATAGATTTTCATTAAAATGGTTGGAATTTTGTTAAAAAGTCATTGAGTTGAAAATTTAAAAGAAAAAAGATATATATTATTTACAATGTCAACCAATGACAATCATGTTAAGTGTCAAATTATACTGTTATTTTTAAATAAATTATAAGACATGATTAATTTTTTAACTCAAAATTTAAACGTGTTAAATAGATTATCATTAAAATAGTTGGAAAAATATAGACATTATAAAATTCTATTTTCTGTGCTATTAAAATAGTTTTCTTTAAATGCTATTCAAAATAGCTATTTATTTTTAGAATGATACTCATTTTTTTAGCAAAGTAATTTAAAAAGTAAAAACCCAAGCATACTAAGATATTAAAAAATATTTTTTAAATATCTTAAACAAATGGCCCAAATATAATAATAAAATAATTTGAATAAAAGCTATCTTAAACAAATGGCCCAAATATAATAATAAAATAATTTGAATAAAAAACAATATATACCAATGTTACTATTGGTGGATGGAAATTCATATTCATATTTTGTGTCATTGAGACTCAGTTTGTTACCGTTCTTACAATACTAAATATTTTAATAAAAAAAAATTAAATGAAAAATTAGTTTAGATAATTTATTATTTAATTATTTTTTTCCCACTAATTTCTTTGAATGATAAAAATTTTAAAAATATCTTAAAGGTGTGGTTATTTTGAGTAGTTAATCGTAAAAATCTTGAGTATATTTTTTTCCGAAGAATGACTATTTAAGTTATTGATTTTTTTATATATAATTTATAACACATTTGAAATAATTTTTGAAGAGTTAGAGACAAGCGCGGTTGTTTAGGGTAAAGAGAACTAGAGAAATTGTGCAGATAAATTGACTAATTTAAGATTAAGAGACTTTAATTTTACTTGGTGGAATGATTTGATTTTATCGGTGGAACCAGACTTCATTATGAACAAGCTGGATCTTCCTAATTTTAGAGTTAGATAAGTTTGAGGTTTTGGCTTAATGTCTTTCTCATTTTTGTATATATTTTTTCTTATTTATATATTTTGGGCTAAAGCCCTTTTCAGTTAAAAAAAATTGCAAACCTTGTTCATTACTGTTGTACTTCAAAATTTGTCCTCTTATTTTCAAGACAAATTATTTCAATAGGTCTCCTCATGCTCATGAAGGTCTCAATTGCTCAAGACTTATCAAAGATTGATCAGACAAATCCTCCTCCTAAACAATTGACCTATAATTAGGGTTTTGCTTTTCTCAAAGGAAATTGGATTTCTAATACCTCAAGTGGACTTCATAGTTCCTCATATGCTTCAAAGAATCCTCATGCCAAATTTCAAGCCTTGCAACATAAGTTTGCTCAATCAATTAGTCAGATGATTGAAAATCAACTATATTGGACAAAAAGTTAACTTTGACCAATTTATAATTAAACTTTAAGATTTTTGGTCAACATTAATATTTTGAAGTCACATTCATCATTTGGTCAAGAGTTGATCATGATTCATCAAGAAAACTCAAGATTTATCAAAAGTCAAAAGTTACTAAATTCGGGTTTTCTTTAGGAGAAGTCAACTGAACTTTGACCAAGTATAACTTTCACATACTTCATCATAAATTCCTCAACCAAAGCCTATCTTGAATAAAATTCAATTCTCTACAACTTTGTCTCTCAAAGCTCAAGGCAAAAAATGCTTCATTTGAGAGATATGGGCCAAAGCATTACAGGTCATTTTAAAAGTCAACAAAAAGACATCTTTTGTCAAAGAAATTTACATCAAGTTAAAGTCTTCAAATGAAAAAATGACCAACATGAAAGTTGTAGGAGACATCTTTAGGTTTCCAAAAAGTCTAAGATCACTTTCATATGACAAAAATTGAGAGAGTTATGATTAGTGCAAGTTGGGAAATTTTGAGAAAATGCATGAAACCTAAATTGAGTAAAATTGGATTTTTGGGCTAATGGGCCTAGATTTTCAGATTCAAACGTGTTCATGACCACATATTAGACCTCTAAATCCATTCACATATTTTTGTGATGTTTATTTCTTTTTAGTTTGATTTTATTCATTTAAATTCAAAATAAATCAAATAAATATAAAACTCATGGACTTAGGCGCTGGACTTTTGTTTTGATCAGATTGAAAGCCCAAAAATCACATAAACCGCTAGCAAGAACGTGTGGGATTGACTGATACATGATTGGCCTAAAAAGAAAGATTTCATACAAAACTTCAATCAAATATTTGATCATGAAATACAAAAGATTTGATTCACTTTTGTTGACCTAAATCTTCCACTATGAATACATCATGTTCAGACCACCAAAAACACGAAAATTGCCTTAAGAACACACCCTCAAAATCTCAAATTTTGTAAAAACTAGGGCAACTTGAAACCCTTGTGTGCAACTGCTTTCAATTCGTTTCAAGCATTCCATCAGCTTCCTGAAGTTCCCAGGAGTCTATCCCAACCGTCCTTGAAGCCTGAAGCACACCAGATCATCACAACCAACTGCACCAGTTTGGGTAGTTTTTGTAAATCTCAAACTTTTAATTTATGCACATTTAATTAATTTGATGCATGTATACATGTTCATGATCATGTTTAGGATTGTTTTGATTCATTATTTGTAAGCTTTAACGCAGGGATCGTGAGATGCCATTGTTAGGGCATCTTGAAACTTTTTCATCGAATCTCACAATATAAGTGCTTTCAGGTCAAACCAATGCCACCATTGGATTCACAATAGTAAAATTAGGGGGATCGAATCCCTTTTATGAACTAACTCATGTTATTTTTGCAGAATGGAATTTGGCATCGTCGGAGAACACGACCAGAGCTAGGGCTCCGACGCTTCTCTGATATACGTTTTATTACATTTTTTTATGTTCTATGACACAAAGGCAGCATGGCGCAGCTGGTGAATGATGTGTTTGTATAACATGATGGGCGTAAGTTTGATCCCCGTGTCTTGCAATTATTTTTGTTATTTTTCCAAACTAACGTGCAGGTTTATTATATAATGATCCATCCCTATTTTCATATCACAAACAACAGCTTGGCCTAGTGGCAGGAGGGCGCGCCTATGAGATCCAGGGCATGGGTTCAACATCCACCACATGCAAATCCTTTTAATCCTATTTTTTCTAACCTAACTTTCTTTCTTTTTCTTAATTAATTAATTTTTAATTAGTCATCAACTAACCTAATCTTTTTTCTTAATACTAACAAATCAAGATTAGGATCTTTAATTGATAACTAAATTCTCGATATATTTTTATTTACTAATTAATTAATTAACCTTTTTTCTTAATATTAAAATTAATTAGAAACAATTGGGTTTTTATTAATTACTCACACTTAAATTATTTTCTATAAAATACCAAAAAAAAAAATTTAGAACTTTAGGTCTTTAAACATTTTTCTAACATTCTTTTATTTCTTACTACTATTTAATTTCATAGAATAATTGTGTAGGTCGCACTATCAATGTAATAGCGTAGATTTCTTTTTGCGCATTTTTTTTAATTATGTATCTGCTCCGAGGATATAATAGCGTAGGTTTACTTTTCCCGTAAATCTCTATACTTATGTATCTCTCCAAAGTCATGTAATAGTTTAGGTCTTTACATTTCACCCTTTATTTTTCTATACATATTTAACTGTTAGTAATTAGGGTTTGTATGGCAAGACTAAAAACAAACGTAGAAAACCCTAATTCTTAAGATAAATAACTGAAATCAATACACTTTTCACACTTGCACCTCTAGGGTATCCTCTCTTGTTGCCTTACGAACATTGGTCACGTCCCTCGAAAGTGGGGATACTTTAGCAAAAGATCCTCGAACAAATCATCATAGTACCTTCGAATAAAGATCACAGTCCCTCGATGATCCTTCGAGTTTCCTATAAAGTGATGATAGTCCCTTTGATACAAATTGCTAAAATATCCTTACATGTTGCCTTCGATGACCATACGATGATCCTACGCCTGTCCCTTCACATCCAATAGATGGGATTACCTACCAACTAATGGTATGGATAATACTCTCTAAAGGAGAAGGAAAATAACAAGAAAGATCTTTAGTGGGTAAGAACTCCTAATTGCTTGCTCACAAACTTTTCTCACAAACAATACATTTTTTACACTACTTTTCAAACAATTATTTTCAAAAACACTTTGTATACATTCTTGAGGACTGATACAAGAATCATTACAAAGTTAGCCTTACATTGGCAATTTCAAAATATTTTCAAATAAATCACACACGCAAAGAAAGTTTTAAAAGTGAACTAAGCAATTAAGAGTCCGTAGATAACTACGGATGAAAATGATGCTAACACATTTCCTTTTCATAACTTGCCCCCCGAACTCAAAATATATCAAAGGTCTTTCCTGTTCTTTTCACCTTTCCTAAATATTGGATAAAAGAAAAGTCACTGGCGACTCTTGCTATCAGCATATTTGGATAAAACCAAAAAAGCCAGTTCTTCGACCGTATTACAGAACTGGCGACTCTGTTGGGGACTTACTTAAAAAAATGGGGTTACCTTAGAGTTTAGATAACTTTTACTTGCTTTAATTGTCTGAATTGTTTGCTTTACTTTAAGGGTTTGTTTGGGTATAATTGCTTGTAAGATCCTACACTCGGATCTAGGAATTCCTTAGGTAAGTAGAAATAGATCATCAAGATTGTACAGCGTAAAACGATATGTTTAACATGATGGCTACAGTTAGTGTGACACTTTGGTTTGTACCGATGTTCCTTAAGTCAGTCAAGGGTAACATTAGGCTTACGCATGGTGTCGTTTGTAACGCCCGTAATTTAATTAATTATTAATTAAATTATTTTTGGAA